TGAGAATTTTAAAATTCAGAGGGCCCCCTTTTCACTGTAGGCAAAGCTTGAAGTCAATCACTTAATCCGAATTCACGTGGGCGACAATGGTGACAGAGGGTAACTACACTGAAGTGATATTTTCACTGAAAATTCCTTTGGGAATGTCTGTGAGTCACCAGTTCAACACGCGTAGCCACGGAACGGGCCCTGATTGTTCCAGAAGGAACCGATCGCTGCAGGACAGAGGCCGGAGAGCAGCGCCAGGTCCCTAAGTTAGAAAGTCCGTGAAACAACTGTCCGCTCTCCTGGCGCATCGGCAGGTAAGTCCGGCCCGGAATCGCCTGCCGCTCACACACTTCGCGAGGGCACAAGGCGCGGGAGACAGAAACCAGGAGCCCGTGACAGCACCGCGAGGGGCTGAACGCTGTGGGGTTGACTCAGCTTGCCGGAACGCAGAGGCCTGTTAGGAAGTCTGGCTACCTACTCAAGGCAAAAACACACTGTTTTACTGTCTGCAGTACAGGACAATTCACAACACTTCGATAGCCAGCGCTCTGGAAATTCTGTTCAAGGTTTTCCTGAAGACTCGGGGAGAAAGAAGGCTCCTTCGCTTCGGCTAAGCGATACGGCTTTCTGTGTCAATGTGTGTAGGGTTGAATTCACGCTGATTTTTTTTTTCTAGGTGGCTTTGTGCCAACGGCAGAAAAAAAAAAACCCAAACAAAAACCCCAGAGATAATAAAGGACTGCAGACACACCCCCAGCCCTGGGCTCGCCTCCTTTCGTTGGGCGTTAAAAGGTTCCACTTCTGTGTGGCAATGACAGGCCCGCCACCCCCTTGCGAGATAAGGCGGTGGCTCATCGCCCTGTTCACCATCATTACATCCCCATAATAATGCTGATTGACCTGATGGGAGCGGAGCCAGGCGGGCAGGTGGAAGACACTCCCTTTGCCTTTCAGTCTGACACGGAATCTCACACTGTCTAAAGAAGCCTGCTTTTTTTTAAAGGATTAAGAGAGAGAGAGAGAGAGAAATAAAACTATGTTCAAAATGTGTGAGATATCCCCATAGATTAAGGAGGTATTTGGGCCAGTGTTCTGTATTCTCGTGGGAAAAGACTCTTGTGTACTCACTGATTTGTTTTACATTTAAAAAATGTAAAAGCTGCCCTGGCCGGTTTGGCTCAGCGGTTGAGCGTCGGCCTGCGGACCAGAGAGTCCCGGGTTCGGTTCCCGCTAGGGGCACGTACCACAAAACAAACAAACAAACAAAAAATGTAAAAGCTTTCAGTTTTAACTGACTGTGACCAAACCTTCGATTGCTACCGTTGTAGATAGACTTATGTAGCTATTTTACATGAGAAGCTATGTAAAATATTCAATACAAGATGGGTGCGGAGTTCATGAGAAGCCATGTAAAATATTCAATACAAGATGGGTGCGGAGTTCATGTGTTTCGCACCTGTGTTTTCCATGATGTTTGGATGATCCAAATTTGATACTGAGACCACCAAAACCACGAAATTTTACTCAATTTCTGCACATACATGCTGCATGTGCATGGCTATGAGCTTAGACAAATCACTGAGACACATAAGACAACTGAAAGACTCCTGCGTTCTATTTCCAGCCAGAAGCCCCTGATTTCACACTACTGCGATCTTCACTGGATCTGAGGGCATGTGAGAGCTCACCTGGTTTGAGCTCCCTTTAGGGTAGTCATCCAAGTGGTAAAATTGTGTTTCACTGCGGTGGTCTGGAATCTAATTTAAAAAAATAAGATTTGTTCATAAAAGAGATTCCACCCAAATCAACAAATAATACAAGTCACTCTAACATGATGGAAAAATAATGTATCACCTCCCCGGAAAGGAGATGAAATGTTTGCTCCCCGCTCCCCACAGGACACCTGCCTGGGGTGTCCATCTCTTCGCCCTCCCTGCCCCCACTGCCCCATTGACACTCTGCCGTGGAACGTAGGCTACTTCTGCCCTGGTTCACAGGTGTTGCAGGGCAGAAATAGGGCTCGCAGAGACCACCTGCAGGTGCCGGGGAGGACATGGAAGGCAGCAGTCTCGGGGACTCACCTGAGGCCAGTGGGCGCTGAGAGCAGCAATCAGCAGGGGGTCCCTGTCCTGCAGGCTCACTGCGGTGCCCGGGCAGCACCAGGGGCCACCTACAGCAGAGCCTGGTGAGGACCTAGGGGGCCCATCTAGGCACAGTTTTTTTTAAATCCTCACCTGAGGATATTTTTCCATTTATCTTCAGATAGAGTGGGAGGGAGGGAGGGAGAGAGAGAATCTTCGACGTATCAATCGGTTGCCTCCCACACGACCCCGACCGGAACCAGGGACCAAACCGCAACCGAGGCACGGGCCCCTGACCAGAATCGAAACCAGGACTCTTTGGGCTGAACCTCTAACCGCTGAGGCCAAACCAGCCAGGGCTCATCTCACAGCTTTTAAATATTATTTATATTCTGGCGATTCCTGCCTTTATATTACCCCAGACCTCCGAGCCATGGATTTTCCCCAGCTGTCTACCTTGACATCTCTTCCTAGCTAGTAGGCATCTCAAACCCAACGTGTCCCACACAGAACTGATTTCCCGACCCCCACTCTTCTCAGGCTCCCCTGTGGCCAAAGGTCTAAGGTGAAGGCCCAACATTGTAGGCTGCCTCGACCCCCGGGAAAACGGGAAGGTCCCAAATGGTCTAACTCTAAGTCCTCCCCACCACCCTCTGCTCCCCGGGATGAGGTCCCCTAACCACACACGCCCTGTCAACGGCCGGGGGCAGTTCCGGCCAGCCCGCCGGCTTATTCCGGCTAATCAGTCTCCTGCAGGAACCGGGGTCACTCCGTCCTCCTGGTCTGCGAAGCCTGCCTCCCAGTCCCTGGCTGTTCCCTGTTCCCATGTGCATCCCTGCTGGTCCTGGGAATGTGCATGTGATTAATAAGCGGCTGTAGGTCTCACCCGTCCAGCACGGGGTGCCCTGTGTTCAGCCGTGCCCACAGCCCCAGGGTGGGAATGGCTTCCCCCACAAGCAAGGCAATTCAAGCGGTCCCACCACGATCAATGGTACCTTCACTCGGGTGCTCAGGGGGACAAAGTTGGCATTTTGATTTCTCATGCCCACAACCAACCCATCACCAAATCCTCATTTATTCCCCACTCAGACTGAATCTGGGATCGAGTGGCTGCACTTCCACGCGATCTTTCCACGCGGTCCACACCCCCGTCTCTGGCCGGAACCAGTACAGCAGTCTGCACTGTGGCCTCTGCCGTGTCCCCTGCAGACAGTTCACCACTGAGCAACGACCCTCTCGTGACAGAGGTGGATCACATCGTTCTGCTCCGAAATTTCCAGGGGCCTCCTGAGACACCGTGTGATGAGAGCCGAAGCCTGGCCGTGGCCGTGAGGACCGCGCCGCGTCGTCCGTGCCACCTGCTAGCACCATGCTCTCAACCACCACACCCGAGCCCCCCGGACAGGCTGCTCCTGACTCCATCCGCCACCGGCCTCAGCCTCGGCAAGTCCCTCCGCCTGGCAGGGTCTCTCTGCACGGCTGCCTGGCTTGCTCCTCGGACTGTGCTGCACACAAGCCTGCTGTCTCCTCCGGCAGGTCCTTCCTCGAGGACGATATAACACGGCCCACGCTGTCACTTCTCTCTCACCTCGCTCTCTCTTCGTTGCACTTCAGAACCGCAGGTGGTGTGTCTGCTTACTGCCTGCCCCCAGCGACAGAGCCTACAGCCGGGACCCTGCCCGAGGCTGTCTCCGGGCTCAGAACGTGCTGGGAACCTAGAAGTTGCTCAGTAGGTGTTGCATAAATGAACAAACGGAATAAAAATGCCTGATTTTCTAACATCCTCACCAGGTATTATAAGCCGTAGTCATCGTTGCCAGTGCAACATGTGGGAAATAAGATATCTTTATTTTAGTTTGTCTTTCTTTTGAGCGAGGTGAGTATTCTAGCGTGTTTGGGCTCAGGCTTCGTGTTTCCTTTTTCCATCTTTTTATCCTCACCCGAGGACATTTTTCGATATTTTGTTCAGATAGAGTGGGAGGGAGAGAGAGAGGAACATCAACGTGAAAGGGACACATCGAGTGGCTGCCACCCGCACGACCAACCAGGGCCGGGAACAAACCGTAACCGAGGTACGTGCCCTTAGCGGGAACCGAACCCGGGTCTCTCCGGACTGCAGGCCGACACTCTAACCGCTGAGCCAAACCAGCCAGGGCCACCTAAAGACATTTTTGCATTTATTTTCAGATAGAGCGGGAGGGAGAGAGGGAGGAAGAGAGAGAGATAAACATCGATGTGAGACAGACACATCGAGTGGCTGCCACCCACACAACCCCAACTGGGGCCGGGGACAAACTGCAACCGAGGTACATGCCCTTAGTGGGAACTGAACCTGGATCTTTCTGGTCCACGGGCCGACGCTCTAACCACTGGGCAGACCGACCAGGGCTGTGTTTCCTTTTTTCAAAAAGCTATCTTTTCATCTCTCTAGCTCAGCTTGTCATTTTCTGATTGCTTTAAAAGTTATTGATCCATTAAGGAAATTATTCCTTTGTCCATCAAATGCTACAAATATCTCTTTCCAGTTCCTCAGTTGCCTTTGACTTTGTAGTCACATTATCAGTCTTCGCCTTTTGGCTTCTGGTTTTCAGGCTTAGAAAGTCCTCCATTCCAAGATCATCAAAGCATTCATACTCGTTTTCTCTTAATGCTTGTAAAAGATTATGTTTTGATCTTTGATCCACCTAGGATTTACTTTGGGGCATAAAGAATAAGGAAGTGACCTAGTTTAAAAAACAAATTTAGCTCTAAACTACAATACAAATATCTGGATATCATTTATATAACGTTGTTTTAATTTTCTCAAAGAATATTTATAGTTTAAAAAATAAATTCAAAGCTCACTTGTTTTCCAACAAATATTTTATAAGCACAGTCGATACAGATATGTAATATATGTATACGTGTTTATCTGTGTATGGCTATATATGCAAAAAAATTCCATTTTCCACAGTTCTCTGGAATGTTATTTTACAATTTAACATTACTGTCACTATTAAAATACTTTCCCAAGACAGTTTCTATTTTATTTTTCTCACTTTCCTGGATCTTGAAGATTTCTTTTTTGCTTTACTGTATTTTGCTTTAAAAAGTCTCTTTTCGATTAAGCTCACTTCTTCGTGGAGGAAGTAGGTCTCTATTCTCAGCAGGAAGGAGAAGAAACCCAGCACAAACTGGTAACTCAGGGAGAAGTTGGACTCCTCATAGGTTGTCACATGTTTGCAGTAGCTGAAGGGAGAAAAAGGAAGATGTTATCTTTGAACGGCTATCTGGAGATGCTGCGTCTACCCCTCGAACATCTCTCAACTACCTGAACAAGTGTATATGTTTAGGCTTAAAATAGTCAGCTAAGCTGAAAGGAAACTTAGAACCGTTTGGTAAAACTCCTTAATTTTACAAAGGAAAGAACTTTATCACTGGCCCTGGCTACCATAGAAGGGACACAGAGGTGGTTGGGGGCCAGGTCTGACAACCCCTAGCCCAGGGCTTCTGCCACTCCAGGTGAGCCCCCACTTCTTACCATGATCAAGGCAAACAAGCAGAGAGAGACCCTGGACCCATTTTTAAAACGGAAGAAAACAAATACCCTCCAACCCCCACCCAAAATAAGACACCAGACTTGATCATGTAGCTTTCAAGTCTGTACGTATTACAGGAAGGGAGTTTACAAAGCAGTGTCATTATTTAAAGTAATAAAACCCGAATCTGACCTAATCTCTGACTACACCAAACCCCGCGTTCTCACTGCCAGTCTCTGACTAGCTCTGGCTGTACAAGGCACAGACAATCCGGGGGACATGGGACTGTGATGCCAACCAGATGGTGCGCGGAATCGTACAGAACACCACTGGATTGCTCAACAAGCAAACTGCAAGGGGAAATGGAGATAAAGGAGGAATTTACGAACTAAACCACTTAAGTGATATCTCGGCCACTTACAATGTATGGATCTCAAACAGATTCTGAGTTATTTTTAAAAGTACACAGCAATCAGAAAAATCTAAAGAGTGATGGCATGTTTGATAATAGTAAGGCATTATTACTAGTTTTTCCATGTTTGATTAATGGTATTATGGCTTTGCTTTAATCCTCGCCCCAGGATATGTTTTTATAGATCTTAGAGGGAGAAGAAGGGAAAGGGAGAGAGAAACTGTGATGTGAGAGAGAAACATTGATGGCTCCCTCCTGTATGTGTCCCAACTGGGGGTCGAACCGCAGTCTGGGTGTGTGCCCCGACTACAAATCGAACCCGCGACCCCTTGGTGCACGGGACGATGCTCCAGCCAACTGAGCCACACCAACCAGGGCACTTAACAAATACCTTGATGTTTGGAATTTGCTTCCAGATAGTCTGGGTGGAGGGGGGAGGACTAAGTTGGGGTACTGCTGAAGCAAATCTAGCCTTGTTGACGACTGTTGAAACTGAGTGACAAGCACATTCTACTATGCTCTCTACTTTTGAATAAACTTGAAATTTTCCATAATAAAAGGTTCAAAGATCAGCAATCTCCCTGTTTTTACAACTAGAACACGCTGGGAGATGGTGTGGACGTGCCCCCGCCAGCAGGCAGCGGAGCTGGGGTGTGACAGCAGATCCGCCCGGCCGTCCTCCTGCCGACTGTGAGAAACTGCCTTCCAGAAGAGTCCCGTCAACATGGGAAAGAGAGCAGTAAAAAGAGACTTTTCACAATGAGAAAAGTCTTCATAATCTAAAACTTTCCCCCTGCTTTATTGAGATATTACGGACAAATAACGTAAGTTTTCAATGTAAACGCGATGATTCGATGCCTTAGACGTGAGGTGCTGACCACAAGGCTGCTCAGCACCTCCGTCCCCAAAACTCCGAAACAAGACTCGATGTGGAATTCTGATTTTCTTGATAATAAGCTCACATTCTTCTATTTACAACAAACAACCTACCTGGCTCTCATTATAGCCAACTCCTTTAAATTATATGCGACTTTTTTAATTAGAAAAGACTACTACTTCAGGGCAAATTAGAGATTTTATCGTGTTTTCTCTCCTTTGATTTCTAGAAGCACCACACCTTTTACAGAACTTCTGTGTGCTGAGCCAGTACAGCGAGTTCAGGGCTCTGAGCGACCGGCCTCCCCTCTGCAGGACCCCCTGGAGACTGTGGCCGTGGAAACACGTCCGGCCGGGGTCGTCCTCAGTCCAGCTGAACTGAAAGCTCGAAGGGCTGTGCTCTGCATTAGTTGGTGTTGGATCGACCAGTGCGCTGAACTGCTTCTGTAGATTCACCACCATGTCTGGAAATGGAGGAAAAAAGGAATAAAATAAAAACGAATGTTAAATCCCAATCAAGTCTGTAGCTCACCCGATAGTAACGTACCGATGCTGGTTTCTCAGTGTGACATACACACCATCGATGACCTTCGGGAAACCGACACTGGACGAGGGGTGTAGGGGACGCCTTAAAAAAGGCTGAAACGGTCATTTTCATGTTATAGATATTTTACTACATTTTAAAAATGAGTAAGGCGACCTGAAGGCGACTGACTGTCCAGAGAGCTCTGGAAGCCACAGGAATCCAGCTCTGGAGCCGCAGCTCTGCCGGCGTGCGGGCAGGTCCCTGAGGACTGCTGGGGCCCTGGCAGAGGACGGCGGGCCTGCCGGGTGCCCGGGCACGTACTAGGAGTGCAGCCTGTGCTCGGCCTTCAGCCCAGGGACCAGGCCCTGGCAGAGGACGCCAGGCCTGCCGGGTGCCCAGGGCACATGCTAAGGAAGCAGATTGCGCTCGGCCTTCAGCCCAGGGACTGGGCCCTGGCAGAGGACGGCGGGCCTGCCGGGTGCCCGGGCACGTGCTAGGAATGCAGCCCGCGCTCGGCCCTCAGCCCAGGGACCGGCCTGACGCCACGCTGCCCTTGCGCTGAGGGGGCCCCTCACCTCGTCTCTTGCACACCACTGATCTGTCGATGGAGGAGTGGTACAGGGGTCTCTCGCTTTTCCACACGAACCTGTGCAAGTAGAGAAGCAGCTGGAGCAGGATGAGGAGACATGAACCCAGACCTCCTTCAGAGACGTGTCTCTGAAGCAATGTCTGAAGCTGAAGCTGCTGAGATTCAGGGTAAAAGCCATGGCTTAGGGCCTCGACACTCGCCTTCGGAGCTCCGGCCTGGCGGGCAGCGGGCAGCTCCCCACGGCCTAGGGGGCGGCGGGCAGCTCCCCACGGCCTAGGGGGCGGCGGGCAGCTCCCCACGGCCTAGGGGGCGGCAGGGCAGCTCCCCACGGCCTGGCGGGCGGCGGGCAGCTCCCCACGGCCTGGCGGGCGGCGGGCAGCTACAGCCTAACGGTTAGCGGGCAGCTCGGCAGCACACCGAACGGCATGCTCCCCCCAGAGCCTCCCAGAGGCCGCGCGGTCCTGAAGAAGCTACTAAGGACACAGTGTGGAAACGGGTTCCCTCCCCAGGAAGTTCCCTTGCTGCCCGTTCCCATAAAGTGAACCACCTGGGAAACAACCGTTCCCCTTGTCCTTGCCCAGCTGCCCTTGTGCTGAGGGTTAAGTCAGTGGTTCTTCTGGTGCCAACAAGCAGACAAGTGAACAGTCAATGCCAGCCTTCTGCCATTTAATGCCCAGAAGTCAAGCCTCGCTCTGGTGGGAATGAGGGACATCTGGGTCCCAGCATGACGCAGTCCTGCAGTCCCTGTGCTGACTGCACTGCTCACCTCGGGAGCCCAGCCGGGCGGTGCCTCTAAACGGAGACCCTGCGTCAACCGACCAGATACACACGACATCCCTCCCGAGCAAACACAGCCCACGGCCTCTTCCAGATGGGGTGCAGCCCAGAGTCAGCGTGCAGGGAGGGGGGTCCAGCCCAGAGTCAGCGTGCAGGGAGGGGGGTGCAGCCCAGAGTCAGCATGCAGGGAGGGGGTCCAGCCCGGAGTCAGCATGCAGGGAGGGGGTGCAGCCCAGAGTCAGCGTGCAGGGAGGGGGTGCAGCCCAGAGTCAGCATGCAGGGAGGGGGTCCAGCCCGGAGTCAGCATGCAGGGAGGGGGTGCAGCCCAGAGTCAGCGTGCAGGGAGGGGGTCCAGCCCGGAGTCAGCGTGCAGGGAGGGGGTCCAGCCCGGAGTCAGCGTGCAGGGAGGGGGGTCCAGCCCGGAGTCAGCGTACAGGGAGGGGGTGCAGCCCAGCCCGGAGTCAGCGTGCAGGGAGGGGGTGCAGCCCAGCCCGGAGTCAGCATGCAGGGAGGGGGTGCAGCCCAGCCCAGAGTCAGCGTGCAGGGAGGGGGTCCCGCCCGGAGTGAGAGTGCAGGGAGGGGGGTCCAGCCCGGAGTCAGCGTGCAGGGAGGGGGTCCCGCCCGGAGTCAGCGTGCAGGGAGGGGGTCCCGCCCGGAGTGAGCGTGCAGGGAGGGGGGTCCAGCCCGGAGTCAGCGTGCAGGGAGGGGGGTCCAGCCCAGAGTCAGCGTGCAGGGAGGGGGGTCCAGCCCAGAGTCAGCGTGCAGGGAGGGGGTGCAGCCCAGAGTCAGCGTGCAGGGAGGGGGTGCAGCCCGGAGTGAGCGTGCAGGGAGGGGGGTCCAGCCCGGAGTGAGCGTGCAGGGAGGGGGGTCCAGCCCGGAGTCAGCGTGCAGGGAGGGGGGTCCAGCCCGGAGTCAGCGTGCAGGGAGGGGGGTCCAGCCCAGAGTCAGCGTGCAGGGAGGGGGTGCAGCCCAGAGTCAGCGTGCAGGGAGGGGGTCCAGCTCGGAGTCAGCGTGCAGGGAAGGGGTGCAGTCCAGCCCGGAGTCAGCGTGCAGGGAGGGGGTGCAGCCCAGCCCAGAGTCAGCGTGCAGGAAGCCACGGGCTCTGTTTCTAGTTCCAGGGCCCTCGCTAAACTTGGCCAAGCAGACCGCTGCTCTGGGACAGAGAGAACACGTAACGGTCACGTCTAGTCTCGCTTGCATGAACTCTGAGTTTCCTAAAGTGAACGACTTTCCTAATTTACAGTAAAAAAAACAAGAACTGCCTTCTTCTTGATCCCAGGCCACTTTTTACTTTGAGAGGCAGTGTGGCAACAGGAGGACGAATCAGAGGCCCGGCTCTGCCTCTTTGTAGGTGTGACCTCGCTGAGTCACAAGCGACAAATTCTGCAGGTTCTCAAATGCAGACTGTCTCACCCTCTTCACGTCCCTAATGCTGGCGGCGAATGGCACATGGCGAGGACTCATCCAAATAGATATTTGTTGAAGAATGAATGGATGAATAGATACACAAAGTCAACATCTCTAAATCTGTCCACTTTTACAGGGTTGTTGTGAGAAAAAATTAAGAAAATGCATGTGACGGTTCTTTAAATCCTATGCAATTGTTAGAAGTAATTATCACCCAGTGTTTGACAAAGCGTCTGGCCAGTAGACAGTCAAGAAATAGCTGTGGATTTTCTACAAAAAGAAGCTGATAAGGAATAGGAAGTCAGAAATTCATATCTATATTTTAATTTATAGTACTCAATAATGGGTGCTTTTTCGCCATTCTCTTTAGTAATATTTTGATAGCAAATGATCATTTTAACCAAGTTAAAAATTGAGATTTTTTGCCCTGGCCGGTTTGGCTCAGCAGTTAGAGCGTCAGCCTGCGGTCCAGAGAGACTCGGGTTTGGTTCCCACTAAGGGCACGTACCTCAGTTGCAGTTTGTCCCCGGCCCTGGTTGGTCGTGTGGGTGGCAGCCACTCGATGTGTCCCTTTCACGTCGATGTTTCTCTCTCTCTTTCTCTCCCTCCCGCTCTTATCTGAACAAAAAATAGAAAAATGTCCTTGCGTGAGAATAAAAAAAAAACAGATTGAGATTTTCCTCAAGGATTTAATAAACTTGATCAAATCAGTAAAATCTTGACTTTACATAAAACAAAGATGTTAACCTTTTACTTTGAATTTTCATGGTGATTTAAAATAATAAGAACAGAAATGAAGCTTCTCTAGTCATTAGGGAGCAGTAGAGAAATAATCAATGTTTAACAGGTGATGGTCTTCCTGAAAATTACGTGTAAACTGACTTTTAGTGAGCCATACCACATATAAAATACACAATCTGTCATTTACCCCCCATGGTAAATGAGTTTGCAAGTCTTTCAAATATCTTTTTTGTTATTTCTTTCTCTTTTTTTTTAAGGTTTATTTATTGATTGATTTTAGAGAGAGAGAGATAGAAATAATGATGAGAGAGAACATCTACTGGCTGCCTCCTGCATGCCCCCACACTGGGGATTTGACCCACAACCTAGGCACATGCCCTGACCAGGAATCAAACCAGCGACCTCTTGGTGCACGGGTCGATGCTCAACCACTGAGCCATACCGGCCAGGTTGTTATTTATTTTCTTAAATAATAAAGGTAACAACATACTCAAGGTAAAAAAAAAAACTTAAATAATAAAACTGTTAAACATTTCTTGTAAATATGTATTCTAGATAGACTTTTTTTTTTAATCCTCACCCAAGGATATATTTTTCCATTTATCTTCAGATAGAGTGGGAGAGAGAGAGAGAAACAGAGAAAGAAACATCGACATGCGAGACACATGGACTGGTTGCCTCCTGCACAACCCCAACCAGGGCCAGAGATCAAACCACAACTGAGGTACGTGCCCTCGACTGGAATTGAACCTTTGACTCTTTGGTCCGAAGGCCAACACTCTAATCGCTGAGCCAAACTGGCCAAGGTGAAAGATTTTCTTATGCATTTATAATAAATGCCTTCATGGATGTCAATGATGCTATAATCAAGGAGGCGTTATTAGTTCCTTGGGGTCATATGCCAAGAAAATGGGGAAAACAGTGTAAAATAACACTCTGTTTATACTTCTTCAGAATTTACTTTACTTTACCTACCTCTTTCCCAAACTACAAAAGCTAAAATAAACAGAGACACACAACAAAGTCCTAATGTATCCTACAGGATGCCACCAAGCCCTGTATGAAGTGACTTACACACAGTAAATCTGCCCTGTGCAGGGTAGTCTGTCCTGCTAGCCTTGACACATACACGCTGTCATGATTAATATGGAGTAGCTCCATCACTCCCCACATCTCTCATGCCTCCTTTTAAAAAATGTTTGTATTGATTTTTTTTTTTTTTTTTATCCTCACCCGAGGACATTTTTCCATTTTTTTGTTCAAGTAGAGTGGGAGGGAGTGAGAGGAACAGAGAGAGAGAGAGAGAGAAACATCGATGCGAAAGGAACACATCGAGTGGCTGCCACCTGCACAACCGACCAGGGCCGGGTCCAAACTGCAACCGAGGTACGTGCCCTTAGCGGGAACCGAACCCGGGTCTCTCAGGACCGCAGGCCGACGCTCTAACCGCTGAGCCAAACCGGCCAGGGCTGTATTGATTTTTTTTAGAGAGATAGAAACATCGATGTGAGAGTGAGAGAAACATGGATCAGCTGCCTCCTGCACGCCCCCTACTGGGGATCGAGCCCACAACTGGGGCACGTGCCCTGACCGGGAATCCAACCGGGACCTCTCCGTGCGTGGGACAATGCTCAGTCCACTGAGCCACCCGGCCGGCTCTCGTGCCTCTTGACAGTCAGCCCTTCTCCACACACCCAGCTCTCAGGTCTCAGGCAACCACTGACCTGGTTTTCTGTCCCTATAGTTTATCCTTTTCCAGAAAGTCAGACAAATGGAATCACACCGTATGTAACCTTTTGAGTCTTTCATTCAACATAATGCATTTAAGATTCACACATATTGCTGGGTGTATCGGAAGTCGGTTCCTTGTCACTCCTGTACACAGATACACTACTGTTCAGCTACCCACTCACCAGCCGGAGGGCGTTGGGTTGGTACCAGTTTAGGGCCATTGTGAATTAAGCCACTATAAACATTTGTATACAGACATCTATGTGAGCTTCTTTTCATTTCACTTGGGTAAATATCTGGAAGTGAAGACACTGAGCAGTATAATAAGTATATGTTTAACCTATGAAAACAGCCGGCTGCCCCATTCTGCACCCCCACGTTTGGCAGCCAGCGTCTGTCGGCTGGCCTTGGCCATGCTGACCGGGAGGGTCGGGCCCATGGTGGTGGGCTTGCCCTACCCCACTAACAGGCTGCGCCACTCCGCGGGCCAGCCACACACCTTCTTCAGTGGAGTGTCTGTTCGAATCTTTTGTCCATTTAAAAAATTGGGTTATTTCCTTTTTGTACGAGAATTCTTTATATAATCCAAATATAAATGTTTTTATCAGGTGATTTTCACATATATCTCCCATCCTGTGGCTTCCCATTCTCTTAACAGTGTCTTGAAGAGCAGTAGTTCTCTTCCGATAAAGTCCACTTTATCTTTTTTCTTTCATGGATCATGATTTAATAACTCTCACCTGACAACACGGAAGATGATGTCCAGAAGAACAGAGAGGAAAATCAGAACCGTATGTCAGCAGTGGGGGTGGGGGGGCTGAAACAGACGGCGATGACACGCACCGGGCTTTGCGCCAAACTGGTCAGCAGTGGTTCCCGTGTCACCTCGCCTGCCCGCAGCACCCACTCCATGGAGTGGGATCTTGTAAGGGGGCCTCTGCACGGCCTCCTCCCGGGGGCCGGTGTCTCACAGGAAAACACCCAGAGACCCAGTGACTAACGAGACATCTCTTCTCCGATGGGGAGGGAAGGAGCCGGTCTCCTGGGCACCCAGGCTCTCGGAACCGTCCCCTGCCCGCCCTCCATCACCATCCTGCACCGAGCACCAGTAGTAACTGTTCCTCTTCTCTCTCTTGACCTCTTCCCACTGTCTTTGTTCGTCACTGGATGTCTGTTTCCCCATTTTAAATCTCTCTCAACGTTAGAGGAAAATATCTAGTTCTACCTGTGAAAATTGAAATTTAGTTATTAGCCCTGGCCGGTTTGGCTCAGCGGTTGGAGCGTCGGCCTGTGGTACAGAGAAACCCGGGTTCGGTTCCCGCTAAGGGCGCGTACCTCGGTTGCAGTTTGTCCCCGGCCCTGGTTGGTCATGCAGGTGGCAGCCACTCGATGTGTCCCTTCACATCGATGTTTCTCTCTCTCTTCCTCTCTCTCCCTCCCGCTCTATCTGAACAAAAAAATGGAAAAATGTCCTTGGGTGAGGATAAAAAAAAAAAAAAAAGAAATTTAGTTATTAAAGTATAAAGTAAGCATTATTACTCCTATTTATGAGGAAACTAGAACTGAATGAATTATTTAACTACTTTGAGCAACCTTGGTTTTACTCAAAGGATTTAAATTATTTGATGAAATGAGATATACATTTACATAAAATACAGAAATATTCACTTTTTCTTCAAAGTCTCAGAGATTCAAAGTTGTAAAAATAGATGAAACTGTTCAAATCAGAGTTCCACAGAAATACACCTGATATTATGTAAGATACGGTGTCCCCGAAAGGGTACGAGCAAAGGAGCTCTCGGCGCGCAGGCTGAGGCCGCGGACGGGGCTGAGCAGCTGCCGGTGGTCAGAGCCCGGCTGCGACAGTCCGGACGGAAACCAGCCCGGACCTATGCTCTGTCCACTTGACCACAAGGGACCTACGTCAGAATGACAGTTCGAAGGCAAACTGAGACTGGCTGACCCACACACTCTCCTTCTGTTTTCCTTTGTTTTGATTTGTATGGGGATCTTTATTTTAGGAGAACATTCCAATTAAAGAAAAAAGTTTATTAGAAAATAGTAGCTAATATTCCCAGAAAAAGTGTCACAATGCTGATGAGCCTACACTGATAAAATTTCATCTTTCTTTTCTTTATTGGGGGTTGGGGTGGTAGTGTTAATCCTCACCTGAAGATATCTTTTCTATTGATTTTGAGAGAGAGTGGAAGGGAGGGAGGGTGGGAGGGGGGACCGAGAGAGAGAGAGACATCGATGAATTGCCTCTGGCACCTGCCTTGACTGGGGCCAGGGATCAACCTGCAACCCAGGTACGTGCCCTTCACTGGGAGTTAAACCTGCGACCCTTCGGTGCACAGGCTGAAGCTCTAAGCACTTAGCCACACCGGCCAGGGCAAACCGCATCTTCCAAATGTAAGGTAACAGGCTTGGAAACAAGGAGGTGAATCAAAAACGAGAAGAGACGACATACTTTGCCCTGGCTTCCTCCCATTTTTGTTTTTTCTCATCAAAAGATTTCTTCATAACTTGGTACCATTTTCTGAAATCAAACCATGGCTTATCTAAAAAAAAAAAAGAAAAGAAATCCATCATTATTAATCAAATAAGTCCCATGACAGTCATATACATTGTTCATCCGACTCTTCATTCGTTGACATGACTAAACATGTATGTGACAGCCCCGGGGAGTTAGGGATGGAGCCACGGTCTCTGCTGTGACCCCGAGCAGTCGGGCAGCCCCCTCGGGTTTCTCCCCACACCACGGCCCTGCCGGTTACGCTGAGATGGTCTTCTCAGGTCTGTTTCTCCTCGATCGACGACTGCCTCCCTGAGAGCAGAATGTCGTCTGTCCCTAGTCGGGCCCCTTCTCCAGCGCCGCGCCCAGCCCTGCCGGCACACACCTCCACCACGTCTGAGACCACGTGAATGAAGGCACGAATGGTAATGGAAGTGTGACTGGCACTGTGGAGCTGACTCCGGAGTTGCAGTTCATTAGCTCCTACTCCCCTCGTCCTGCTGTGACGCCCAGCCCAGCCCTGGCGGGAGAAGGTGGGCTGCACGGGCAGCTGGCGTGCGCAGAGCCGCCCCTGGCTCTTACTCGCTCCGTGTGGGGACAAGGGAAGAGCAGGGAGGGAGGAAACAAATGAAAGGCAAAGCGGAAAAGAGGCTCACAGAGGGCGGGCGGGGAAGGAAGGAAGGCTGCCAGGAGGAGGAGGGTGGCTCAGTGAACGGCGAAGTTTTTACATAGCAAAGACAGTCTCTTTCAATGTCTAGTTAAAAATCAACTGGCCAAAATCATCCTCACATAATCCAATAGAGCCTTGAAGGCCACAGAGGAGAGGCACCTCCCAAGAGCTGTGAAGACAGAGGGACAGGCTGCCAGTCCACAGGGCACAGGGTCGCAGGTGCTCACCGGCGAGGAGCAGGGAGTGGGCAGCAGAGGAAGGGGAAGCCCTGCCCGCTGACAGCCCAGATCGAGGCTCAGAGGGAGGACGCGTCACAGTGCTGTTTCCTCGCGCCGCTGCACGGCTCCGACGCCGTGAGCACGAGCAGGGGCGCAGAGCCATCTCGTCACCCTCCGCTCTGGGGAGGGCCAGCACCAGGCAACACGGGAGGGAAGTGCTGGCATATATGCCGGAAATAAGACGCAAACCGGATCTAAAACAATGGACTCCTAGAGAGAGCAGACACGTGGTCACCGGGGCTGGTGGGGGACACTGGGACAGCTGGGTCCCAGGCACGAACCTGCGGCGAGAGATGAATGAGGTCTGAGGATCTAGAGTAAAAGAAGCGGCTGTAGTTGAGAACACTGCGCCGTAGAGCTGAAATCTGCTAAGAAAGTTAAACTGAAATGTTTTCACCAAAAAAAAATAGAAAGATAAATAATGTGAGGTAATGAATGTGTTAGCTGACTGGATGGCAGGAATCCTTTTACAGTGTGTATGCAGAGTAAATCAGCACAATTACACTTTTTAAAAATTGATTCTAGAGAAAGAAAGAGAGAGACATCGGTCTGTTGTTCCATGTATTCATGCTTTCATTGGTTGGTTCTTAAATGTGTCCTGACTGGAGATCGAACTTGCAACCTCGGCGTGTCGGGACAGCATTCCAATCAACTGGGGACAACATTCTAACCTGGCTAGGGCTACACTTTAAATATTTTACAATTTTATTTGTCAGTTATTCCTCAATGAAGCTTAAAGTTTTAAAAAAGGACAATGCACATAAGTCCTAGTAAGAACATTGAAAAGCTAGAATTGAATTTAAGAATTCACATATTTATCCAAATCTACTGAGTTTTCGAGGCCAGTCACAATGTAGGCACCAAAGATACATTAAAAAAAAAATTAGAGAGGTCTGGCCCCTCCCTCCAGAAGCTCACACTCTACTTGTCGGGCTATGATTTATGCAGTACTCACTATGTCAAATATTCTTCTATGCACTTTACAGATTCTGACAATCTGACAGGGACAGACATACTCAGTCCACCGGTTGCAATTCAATGTGCTAAACATCTAACAAAGTCTGGACAGGCGCGGCTGTGACGGCGACTAGTTCCGAGCTGGAAGAGGCGATGGGAGGAGGTGGGGGGAGGTGGGGGGAGGTGAGAGGAGGGTGTCTGTGCTGCATCCTGAAGCAGGACGAGGATTTATCTGCCAGGGGTTGAAGCGGTTGGGGTAAGAAGGAAGAGCATTCAGGGGGAAGAACCAGTGTGAGCAAAGCATCAGAACAGACGGCCCCGCCACAGTGCTGCCCGCCAGCTCCTGGTCTCGTCCGACTAGTGAGGAGAAGCTGGAAGTGACCGAGCCAGCTGGCCTTTACACACCGTGGAGGTCACTGGGGTTTTTTTAGTAGGATACAGATCATTGGATAACTATCTGAAAAAATAATCCCGGTACAAGGTACAATTTATATACCTGTATATGTATCTATGCATATTCTTCCCCACATTTATTGCATCTTTTAATCTATTGTTTATCTTTAATCTGATTGATAAAAAAATCAAGTACCTTCTTTGTTCTCTTCATTGTATTCTTCAGCAATAGCAGATAAAGACCTGGAGACACCAATAAACAAATCAATTTATTTAGAAATCACTTATTTGAAGACAGTGAAATTCTGAATTCTTCTGAAAGAAAACTATGTAACAGTCCTTGAAACTGATGACAACTCTAATGGAGAAGCAATCACTGAAACAGAGAGGAATAATACTGTAAATACTGCCACTCTTTGTTTGGATCTGGGAGTGGTAACATTTTTAAATCCCTTGACTTTCCAAAATAATCTCCAAGACACAGGGCCCGGAGCCTGGAGGCACGCAGGTGGGTGCTAAGTGACTCCTCAGGACCTGCGATGATGATTCAGACTCAGGAGTCAGTGAAAGAATGAGGAGCACGTGTATCTGCCTAAAAACTAGGAATAAAACATGATACAAACAACTACCGGGCGGGATGCACCCTCTGACAACCAGCTGAGTCAAATGCTCTGTGAGAAGTGGCTGCTGCCGGGAACGTCTGGGACAGCTGAGTGTGCGTTCCCTCCTCAGATGACACATGGAGCCCTTCACTCCGAATAAGGAGGTGGAAACAACAGAACGCTCCCCCCCCCCCCCCATGAAATTGATATACACTTACCATTCGAAATGGTCATCCAATAAAAAGAGCAGTTTCAATACTATTACAATGACGGCGACAGCTTGCACATCATATTTAACAGTTTTTTCCTTTTTAGCTATGGGATCAAATGTCAGAAAATCCACCTCTCCTATTCCAGCCATTTTTACCACTTGGGAGGTGAAATTGTTCATTTCATCTGTTGAAGAAAAAGACAGTAAAACATGAAATAAATTCTCCGGCTAACTAATGTGCATGTCCTAAGACCATCTTTATCTTAAAACATGGAACTACGCTAGAACTCAGAGACACACATTTTCTTTTCTTTTTTTTTTTTTTTTATCCTCACCTGAGGACATTTTTCCACTTTTTGTTCAGATAGAGTGGGAGGGAGAGAGAGAGAGAGAGAAATACCGACGTGAAAGGGACACATGGCTGCCACCCACACAACCCAACCAGGGCCGGGGACAAACTGCAACCGAGGCACTGGTCCTTCGCGGGAACCGCACCCGGGTCTCTCTGGACCGCAGGCCGACGCTCTAACTGCTGAGCCAAACCGGCCAGGGCGAAACACACACATCTTCTACCATTTAGAAAAACTCTCAGTAGGTTCTTGACAAGGCATGTCTTTCCTATTTCTGACGTACCTAACACACAGTCACAGCTCAGTTTCTATTGTTCTGCAGCCTCTTGTCTGTTTCTATAGCGACAGGACTTGCCTGAAATGAGTCCTCAGTAAGACCGAGAGCTCCAGCGGACAGAGCAGACACTCGCTGGCTGACCTGCCTGGCACCCTGCAAGGCTCGTGCGCTTAACCAGACAGAGCGCTTCCCCAAAGGAACCGGGTGCTCTGCCAAGACTGCGTCTATCACGTGGGCTGAACGTGGACTCGGCCCCGAAAACTGAGGGTCTGCATTTAGGCTTTCCAACCATCATCTCTGACTGAATCAGTCACTTACCCTCATTCACTTGTCAAACAGGCCATCGTGAGGAGCTGGCGATAAATGAGAGTAACTAGGAAGCACAAGTGTGTACACACTGAAAACTCTAAATCACTACACGAATTTCTTTACTCACTAATGTACGTACTTCAGACATACCACATTCTATTTTAATGAATTTCTAGAACAGCTGTATTCCTAAGTGCATTATCAATGTTACTGAACTGAATGGACTCTCCTACATGATTCCCTCACCATGTCTCTCTGACCCTACTCCCTTGATTAGTCCACACGGGGCAGTGGTTAAGAGTAGACTAGGGAACCAAAATGCCTAGACTAGGATCCCTGCTCCATCACTCACTAGCTCTGTGACCTTGTGTCAGTTACATGACCTCTGTGCCACAGCTGTTCTCATCTGTGTCAAACAGGAATAGCAATCGTTTTATTTTACAGTTATTGTGAAGAGTCAGTGAACCTAGAGCACTTAGATCAGAGCCTGGCATAGAGTGGACACTTAATCCATGTGACTTATTATGCCGACTGCTCTCAAATCCATCCACTTTTCTCCTTCTGCACTGTTGCACCTTAGTTCACCCTCCTAGTGCAAGTCTTCCTTCCTCTGTCTGATTCTGCTGTGTGATCCCATCATCTCATTCCCTTGCTCTCGCTAACCCATTCAAACTTTGAGCTCCCAGCCCAAACACCTCTCTGTAGTTCCCCCCAAACAAGCCAGTTTCACTGGCCTCTCTGCTTTACACAACTAGTTTTGTTCCTTTGCCTAGAAAGCCAATTTCTTTTCCCCATTTCTCCTCTCAAGCTGTGTTGAGTGGATTCTCACTCATCTTACAGAACTCAGTTACACCAACTGCTGCTTCTAAGAACACATGTGTGATGCCAGCAGCCTCCTCGGATCAGCCCTCTGAATGCTGGGGCAGCCCTCTGGCACTGACCCCACTACCGCACACTGTTAGGGTTGAAGTCTTTGTCTCCTCTTCAACTTGAGGGCAGGCAGACCCAGTCTTGTTTCATTCGTCTTCCTAACTGCAGCAATCTACACGTAATGGGCACAACCTACTGTCCGTGGAGAGTGAGTCAAATACAAAACATTTCTTTCCTAAATGTTTAAGTAAAAAACTTCCACTGATTAAAATATGTTTTGTTCACACAGAAATAGGACATATATAACAATGACAATTCAAAATATGAATCAAAGTATTTTTGTATGTCTACGAGATTCTAATAACTTGGCTAAAATTTTGACTTGGCTTTTACTCGTGCTTTCAAAAACCATTTATTGAGTAACTGCTATGTCCTGGGTATTGAAGATAAAGCCATCAATCACCCTTTTCCCAAGGAGCTCATTGTTTAGAAACATTGAAATCATTGGAATCCGATACGATCAAGACTACGACAAGGCTGAGATGGTGCTTCGGGAAAAGCAAACAGTTCAACCCGGGGCGTTGGTGCCGAATGAGGAGGGGGCAGGGCCAGGTCCTGCAAGTCTGTGTGGCAGAGAATTTGGACCTACAGATTCCATCTGAATAGTCATGGGATTCATTCAGGTGCCAACCAATCAGAAGACACAAACTCAAGCTCATTCGACAAGCATTTACCGAGTGCCCACTGTGTAGACGGCTCTGCGCTGTAATGGAGGGAACCAGGACGGTGAGGAACAGGGCGACTTTCGCCTTCAAACACATACACTTACAGCACGAAAAAAATGCATTTAAAAATACAATCACACCCTGGCTGGTTTGGCTCAGAGGTTAGAGCATCGGCCTGGGGACCAAAGAGTCTCAGGTTCAATTCTGTTCAAGGGCATGTACCTCAGTTGCAGTTTGGTCCCGACCTGGGTCAGGGTCATGCAGAAGGCAACCAATCGATGTGTCCCTCTCATGTCCATGTTTTTCTCTCTCTCCCTCTTCCTCTCTCTCCCTTCCTCCCACTCTATCTGAAGATAAGTAGAAAAATATCCTTGGATGAGGATTAAAAAAAAACAAAATCATTCACTAACAGTGTACATATTACCTGTACTGGCTCATGGAGGCTACAGTCTCCTCTCAGATCATTTACACATTGAAACCATAGTATTGTTATCACTATAAAGAATGACACTTCTTGAAAACTGTCTCCTCTATTTCTTTTAAATTAATATCTTGAACTGCTTCACCTACACCAAGAGTACAGAGTAATGAAAGAGCAAATGGAAGAAACTGTGAGAAAGGAAGCAGACAGGAGGGGTGACTAAGGAGCAGGGGCTCCGAACCAGAGCACAGGTGAGAGGGCCCTGCTCTGGAGGAGAGGCTGGTGTAAGGGTGCACTCCGCCTCTACCAGGTCAGGGTCGCCAAGCCTCGCTCGTTCTGTCCCTGAAGGAGATCACACACATGGAAGCACGTTGGAAATGCTGGTTCCCCACGGATGATCGCTGTGGCTGTGAAAGCTGCCAGAGAGTCCCTCCAGCAGGCCCCAGTCCCAGCACGCGGAGTGAGCCCCCCCCAGTCCCAGCACGCGGGGTGAGACCCCCCAGTCCCAGCACGCGGGGTGAGACCCCCCAGTCCCAGCACGCGGGGTGAGACCCCCCAGTCCCAGCACGCGGGGTGAGACCGGACTCAGCCCTCAGATCAGTGCTCACTGAGCCAGGGTGTGTGACAAGCTGGATGGGACCTTTGTGCCTGGCACCCGAGACCACGGCCCGGGAGGGGCGCGGGGGGCCTTCTCTGTGCAGCACGCTCACAACTGCTCTCGGCGCCCTGGGAACCCTCGTTCAAGATTTTGGAGTACATGAGAACAGAAGAACTTTCCATATTTTGAAAGAACCATTAAAGGAGTAAATTTAAAAGAGCAAAATCTAAAACCGTAATTCTGCTTTATGCAATATGGCAAAATGCAGAAATGACTTTCATATTCTGGAATCTTAATCAAATAGATAGTGACTTCTGAAATCCCAGAAGAGACATACATTCCTTAGCTTAACAAATGATATATTTAAAAAGTTTGTTATTTTTGTTCCTTTAAAATATTTTAAAATTACAGACTTAACATTTACACTTGTGTGTCTTACTACATATTTGTATTTATTTTATCATTAAAATGATACCATAATACAGTTTTACATATTGCTTTTCTCATATATCTATTTTCTCTTTCTATTAAAAACATATTCAATTACATTTTGATGTTGCCTAAGCAATAGTACAGTCACACCATGTTTGTATTTTCTCTTAAAAATGAAAGTACTGAACTTCTCACATTTCTAGTTTAGCAAGAAATTCAAGACCGGATCCCGGGCAGATTCCACCTGGAACCGGCCTCGCGCGTGCTGCGGCCAAGGCGCAGCGAGGCCCTTCTCAGACTGTGCGCCACGGCCTTGAAGGGCTCGCGTGCTCCCACCACACTGTGACCCCATTGGTTTTAGGGACTGGGAACAGCTTTATGTTTCTAAACAATAAAAATGTTACCATTAATTGGCTTCTGGGGTTTTTTAGACCTAGAATTGATTATGTACTAATCATGCTTCATGCAGATGAAAAGGGCTTGGGGTGCACCTGGGTCACTGATTCCACCCCAGGACACCTGTCACCTGACCTGCACTCAGCAGACTCCCTGGAAAGCAAGCAAGTGCTTTCGGCCAGAGCCCTCTCACCAGACAGAACTCATTACCTCCGGACAGTGATCTCCACCACTGAACCGGTCGGGAACATTTCAGGAAAGGGTTGTGCAATTAAGCTTCGTGTTGCTATGGACCCTGTCAGGCGGCTCCACTGGTGGGGTAGTTGAGAGGTCTCTACATTTCGCTCATTCAGGCTCTAGGAGGTAAAGGCTTCTTCCCACGAGAGCCACTGGCTTACCTGGGAGATTGACTTCCATCAAGTACTTCATACACAACACGTCTGGGTGAAGATAGCAGTCCTCAGTTATGTCTGGGAAACGAGGCAGATCCAAAAATGTGGAAACTTCGATCATTTTTTTATAGATATCCTCATAGTCAGGCCAAGACTGAAATAAAAGAGAGAGTCAAGGCAGCAATTTTCACGTTAATTAGTTTTAAAATACTTTCTGATTTTAAAGTAGTATGCATTCACTGAATGAAACTGGGAACGTGAGAAAGCGTGGAGGGAGAACATGCATGAACCCTAATATCGCAACTTAGCAGTTTTGTTTTTTGCCTTTTATTTTATTTTTTTAATTTTATTTTTGTTACAGATGTTTCTCCTTTTTTACCCCATTGACACCCTCCTCCCCATCCCCCCTACCCCGTGCCCAGCTTTGTTGTCCATGTCCATTGGTTATGCGTACATGCATATAAGTTCTGTGGTTTATCTCTTCCCATCCCCCACCACCCCCTCTTCTGAGGGTTGTCAGTCTGTACCCTACTTCCACATCTCTGGGTCTACCCTATTCCTCAGACTGTCATGTTCATTATATTCCACAAATAAGTGAGATCATGTGGTATTTGCCTTTTTCTGCTTGGCTTGTTTCGCTTAGGATAATTCTTTCCAGGTCCCTCCATGTCGTCTCAAAGGATAAGAGATCTTTCTTTCTTACAGCTGTATAGTACTCCATTGTGTATATGTACCACAGCTTTTTCATCCATTCGTCTACTGATGGACATTTGGGCTGTTTCCAGATCTTAGCTATTGTGAATAGTGCTGCTATAAACATGGGGGTACATATATTCTTTCTGATTAGTGTTTCAGGCTTCTTAGGGTATATTCCTAGAAGTGGGATCACTGGCTCAAATGGCAGTTCAATTTTTAGTTTTTTGAGGTAACACAATATTGTTTTCCATAGTGGCTGCACCCGCCTGCATTCCCACCAGCAGTGTACCAGAGTCCCCCTTTCTCCACACCCTCACCAACACTTGTTGTTTGATGATTGTTGATGGCGGCCATTCTGACAGGTGTGAGGTGATACCTCATTGTTGTTTTAATTTGCATCTCTCTGATGATTAGTGATGTTGAGCATTTCTTCATATATCTCTTGGCCATTTATATGTCCTGTTTAGAAAGGTGTCTATTCAGCGCCTCTGCCCTTTTTTTTTTTATCCTCACCCGAGGACATTTTTCCATTTTTTGTTCAGATAGAGTGAGAGGGAGGGAGAGGAAGAGAGAGAGAGAGAGAGAAATATCGACATGAAAGGGACACATTGAGTGGCTGCCACCCGCACGACCAACCAGGGCCGGGGACAAACTGCAACTGAGGTACGTGCCCTTAGCAGGAACCGAACCCGGGTCTCTCTGGACCGCAGGCCGACGCTCTAACCGCTGAGCCAAACCGGCCAGGGCCCATTTTTTAATTGGGTTCTTTGTCTTCCTTTTGTTGAGCTGTATGAGCACTCTCTCTATATATATTGGAAATTAACCCCTTATCTGATGTATCATTGGCAATGATGTTCTCCCATACAGTGGGTTGCCTTTCCATTTTGATGGTTATTTCTTTTGCTGTGCAGAAGCTTTTGAGTTTGATGTAGTCCTGTGTGTTCATTTTCTCCTTTGTTTCTGCTGCCTTAGGTGATGTATCAGTGAAAATTCTGCTGCGTATGATGTCCGAAATTTTGTTGCCTGCATTTTCGTCTAGAATTTTTATGGATTCACGGGTCACATTTAAGTCTTTTATCCATTTTGAGTTTATTCTTGTGTATGGTGTAAGTTGATGGTCTAGTTTCATTTTTTTGCATGTAGCTGTCCAATTTTCCCAACACCATTTATTAAAGAGGCTGTCTTTACTCCACTGTATGCTCTTGCCTCCTTTGTCAAATATTAATTGAGCATAATGTCTTGGGTCCATTTCTGGGTTCTCTGTTCTGTTCCACTGGTCTATATGCCTGTTCTTGTGCCAGTACCAGGCTGTTTTGATTACTGTGGCTTTGTAGTATAACCTGATATCTGGTATTGTGATCCCACCTACTTTGTCCTTCTTTTTCAAGATTGCTGTGGCTACTCGGGGTCTTTTTTGGTTCCATATGAACTTTTGAAGTAGCAACTTAGCAGTTTTAAATAGTAATAACACTAAGTAAAAAAGCCACTGAAATTCTGTTTGGCTCATTAAACTCTTAGTGGCCTTATCTATGATGTGGCGAGATCCTAACTTCCTGCCAGTCACAGAACAATCTGAGGACGGAGAAATCTGCGACCACTTGGAGTTACAATGCTGTCATAATGCTCTCACACAAGCACCGCCTCAATAACCTTCCAGTTCACAGCAACACGGTTAGCTCATGTTACATACTATCCACATGCTTCCATGTTACTCAGATATCATAGCAGCATTAGTCATAATAGCCAACAGGTGGAAACAACCCAAACATTCAGGAATGAATGGATAAACAACTGGCCTATCACACAACAGAATACTATTCAGCCTTAAAGAGGAACGACGCTCGGACGTGCTGCAACGAGGACAAATCTCACATCTGGAGATACGGTCTGGAGACAATGGTGGTGCTGGTGCACAATGTAAATGTATTTAATTCTACTGACTGCACATTTTTAAATGGCTTAATGGTAAATTTTATGTTATGTATATTTCACCACAATTTAAAGCAAGTATAAAAAATGAACCTAAATATCATATAAAAGAAAAAACACTCCCAACATATTAGAGATGTCATAATTAGAATAAAGCTGAAGATGTAGAAAATTCAACATATATAAAATCTACAAACATTGAAAGTCTATACTACTTGCTAATATCGAACTTTATCCTACATAAAATATCTTAGCAATAGAGACACACTTGGGGGCGGGCAAAATGATCCAACTGTAACTATTAAACATATAACACCAGGACACAGTGCCTCTCCCAGAAGACAAAATACACTGCGCACAGAGGAAATAGCATCCCTGCTGACTCTCCGCTCAGGCCCCGTGTCCAGAGGTAAGGCTTGATTACTTCTAGGACACACTGAGGGTGATGTCAGGGCCTCGAAAGAGCTGAGGGTTGTAACTGGACGTCCCCACTGCCCACCATTTCTGGTTGGGGGGAGGCATCATCAAAAGGACAGAATGCTACCGTCTTCTCTGATGTCACTTGACGTGTTGGCCCAACTGTCCCTATCTGGCCTGGCTAGGACTAACCCACCTGCACGCCTGCTCCCACTCCACCTGCGCCAGGCCAGCCTGGGGCCGGCACTGCAAGCTCAGCAAAGCGTCTAACCCTGGGCAGAGGCTGAGCGCGCCATCTCGTAGCGTGTCAGAGAACGAGACCACAGTGAGACAGTCGTGCTTCTGTCCCATTGTCCTTGGCCCAGAGAGAGGAATCAGGTGCTAATGTAGACAAATGCTAAAATGTGGAAAACTATCATACAATAATTGCAGTAAATATTTAATGACTGTGTTAGTATGATCTTATTTGGACCTTTGGAAGATGCATTCGTGCACAGACAACGCATGGGAAGGGCCTACAGAAGCTGCTGGGCGTCTGTACCACGTTCTCATTGGGAGTCTCTGCTGTATTAAGTAGAACGAGCGGCCTACCAGAACCTTGTATAAAGCTCTGCTTGTTTAGTAAGGCACAATGGCATTTGTTTTATATTGGACTTGCGTTATCTGCTAATTAGTCTAATTCTACCTTAAATACTTTGTGGGACAAACTGGAATAATAAAAGAAAGAAGAGGCAGAGAGAGAAGACTAGTCTGTACAGCTCAAAGCATATCTCTATCACAATCTGCAAGGTGCTTGTTAAAAATGCACGTTCCCAGACCCCACACCAGACTCCCCGAATCAAGCCAACATTGGTCTAAGAATCTATAGCTTAAACACGCTCTCCAGGTTATTCTTACGCAAAAATAAAATAAAATAAAATGCAGTGGCTTCCCGTTCGCATTCTTCTTGCAGCCTGGTAGAGACCCTCTCAAGGTTTTACCCCACCAGCTTGAAAACAGAGGTGCACCCACAGATTCCAGGGATGGTTACGACGTCAGGGGAGGCCAGGAAGAAAGGAAAACAGCTGGTTTCTCTGCATGCTGCCTGGCAGTAGTCACTCTGCAAGGGAGGAGTGGGGGTGAGGGACAGTGAGAACACCTGTCATCATGACACTCACCTTAATTCCTTCCAGGGAGACCTCAACCTGTCCGAGTGTTATTCTAACAAAGATTGCACAAACAACCCCCAGAGCTGCTACATGTGGCCTACAGAGTGAGATGGTGAACAAATCCAGAGCAAAGTTTGAAGACTCAGAGGGTACCGAAACTCGATCCAGCGAGACTGCCACCTGGAGGTGCTTGAGAAGTGACTGATGGCAGGGCCCAGTTTCCCAGCGGGTGTGAGACTGCTCCCAGGCAAAATGAGTCATCGTGGCAAGGTGCCACTGGAGGGTGGGCTGGGCTGAAGCAGCATGACATCTTTCCTTTCTACTCATTCAGAGAGAGGCTCAGAACGTTGCTGATCAACATTCATGATACTGGAGAGGTGCTTCGGAACGAATTTCCAGTCTCTTTACCCTCTGGCTGAGTCTGGTGACGGATGACGGAATGAATGCTGCTTTTCTTCTTCTTTTTTCTTAAATTTAATGTTTTTGTTACAGATGTTTCTCCTTTTCCCCCCAGTGACACCCTCCTCCTGATACTACCCTCTCAGCACTGTTGTCTGTGTCCACTGGTTATGCATACATGCACGTACGTTCTTTGGTTTATCTCTTCTATGAATGCTTCTTGAGAGGATTTAGAAACACTGTCAAGGATCATGGTAGAATAATCTGTGTTACAAATGATGTGTTTAGAAATTGGTCTGTGGGTTGAAAACATATAAAAATCAAGCAAATCAGGGCTGAAAAGATGGTAGTAGCCCCACTGACAGAAAAAAATTGTTTCTGTGATAGAGATGAGTGTGCTTAGGCCCGACTTCGGCTCAAGCAGGGATTGACTGGAGCCTGGGCAGAGCTGGTGCCCCTGAAAGAGACCAGATTTCCAATTTATTCTACCAGGTGAACGAAAAGGTTTCTGCTGGAAGAAAATAATGCTTTCAATCAGCACCATACTCCAGAAGCTTGAGTCAAA